GGTGCGGGTCGCGGTGAGAGCAGCGGGGCGATGCCGTAGCGCGGGCGCCTGCGCGCAACCCCCAGCCTGCTCCCGCGGCAGCGCCCATCGCATCGCAGGCGCGCGGAACCGGAGCCAACTTTTCCCGTCCAACTTTTTAAGATTATTATCTGGGCGATTACTAAAGTCTAAGACACAATGAATAAATACATTCATGTTTCCCAACTGGAGGTTCGTGCGAAGTGCCTGGATGAAAGAAATGTTTCTTTTATAACAGAACCAGGCACAGCAGAGCTGTCAGTTTAGATACGAATCTTCAGCCGAAGTCAGAGCCTTTTTATAATAAAGCTTTATGATCTTCAATATTTTAGAGTCCCTGGACAAATGGGAGCGGCTGACAGTGGCTGATGCACTGGAACCTGTCCAGTTTGAAGATGGAGAAAAAATTGTTGTGCAGGGAGAGCCCGGTGATGACTTCTTCATTATTACAGAGGTAAGATTGGCATCCCGATAAGCTCATTTCCTGGTAAAGATCAAGACTTTATATTAAAAGACATTTGGGTTCGGTTTGATCTCTTACTTCATTGTAAGCTCCGCTCAAACCCGGAGAATTACTCAAAATTCAAATGAATTCAGACGCCAGTTCCATGGAAATGGCTTAAGTGGGACGATCCTTAGTTTCCAGTAAATTGAAGACGTAGCGGAATTTTGAGGTGTGTCTCATGTCTGTACCGCTTGAAGGTTTGTTTTCTCCGTGAGATTTTTCTTGTTCCGAATTGCCAACTCTTGAACCAGGCGGGCCGGGCACACGGCGCATTGACCGTTGTTCCCACGGGGACTTAGAGGGGAAATCACAAACAAACATCTGTGAACCGGAGCGGGAGACCTGATCTGAAAACGGATAATTTGTTCTTTGTTTTGCCTTAAACTCGGTCCAAACGGCCGAGCCATTTTCTTGTTTACCCTCCCGCAGGCAGACAGATCTGTCAGGCAGCTGAAAACGCTGACGTCTTTTTGGGACACTTCGGTTCCGCCATCTCACTTCTGCAAACAGATGCTGACGGGGTTTTTCCTCCCTCTCTGACATAAATACGTGGCTCCTCGCTATCTCCTGCAGATACCTCGGCGCTGTGATGTAACAAGTTATAAAAGGGCATCAGAGAGACTCCGACTGGGCAGAACGAGCCAGCATTAGGGGATAACTGGGTGTACTGGAGTAGGAGCTTTCTAGTGCCAGCCGTGAGTGTTCACACACAAACCCGTAGTCAGGGAGTGACCAGCGCTGGGCTGTGTGGTGGAACCCCAGGCCAGATGTGGCGTGACCAGCGGCGAGGCAGCGGGGGCACAGGAGAGCGGAGCCCCTCGCCGTGGGAGAAGGCGGCTCGGGCGGGCGTAGGGAAGGTGGTGTCAGTGTGTTGCCCCGCGGTGCGGGTGTACGTACAGGGAGCACATCGCTGGCTCCATCCTCCCGTGTGCTGTGGTGGGATGCGGGAGGAAAGACCCCCCGCCCGGCTGAGGTGCGCGGGGCTGTACAGCGCCCGTGGCTGAGAGCCCAGCGGGTTTCCCTTTGCGTCCTCCGTATCGGTGAATTTTTGGGTAGGTGCCTCTATCCAAGGCAGCCAGAATTTGTTTCGTAGTCAATATTCTAACACTGAAAATTTCATTCTTTCTTTCCTCTTGAGTGTTGGATGCCGGTGCTGAAATACAGACTTGATTTATGAACGTAGTTTCTCTTCTGATGCTCACAAAATTGTGCGTGCAGAGAACTGCACCTGTGTATCGCACAGTTGGGCACTCCAGGAACTTTAAATCTGTGATGAGCAGTGCCCCTTCAAAACAACAGTGGCGGAATAAAAGAGATTAATACTGGTTAGGGATTTTTTTTCATTAACAAGATACTTAGTATAGAAGATTTTGTTTTTATTTCTACTAGTGTTAGTAAGTGTCCTGTTATTCCTTGCAGCAGCGTGAGACTAGGAAAACCTGATTTTCTTAACCATCAAATCCCATGTGGAAAATTGGCAGCTCGCTTAAGAATTACCAAGGGCCTTCATTTTCCCCCTCCTGATGGAACAGCTGTTACGACTTGAATGGGTAGAAAAGTATTAACACTGCGTAGTGCGTCACCGTAAAGTATCTGCTCCCCTCACCCTTCCACTGTAAATCTAACATAGTTTCGCACTTTGGAAATTGCCTGTATTTTTCTGCATTAAAGAGTGAACATTCAGTATCAGCTACTTCTTGCGCTGCAGTAGTATCTCTGCCCGCTCACACGTAGCTTAAGCTTTGTATTTCAGACTTGACTTCACAAGAGTTTACGTCTTTGATGTTAAACTTTTCTGCAGGAGAGCTGCTGCGAGCCGCCAGGAACACGTTACTCTACAAACTGGTGGAAAGTAGTTTTGGCTGGTTTGTTGTCGCAATATGTTGAAAAGCTTCTTTCATATGTTTTTTGATGTTTGTGGCCTTATAATCCAAAACATTCAAAATGCAGCCAATTTGTTGGGCTGCTGTAGATGCAGAAAGCGTTTCGTGTATCAGCAGAATGCCACCTCCTTTGGGGTACTCCCTGTCCCGCAGTACAAAGCTAAGCTTTGCCGTGCAATTTTGGGGCAACGTACTCCTATATTATAAACAGCGGCCATTCACGGCATGCCTTAGACAAATCAGTCGCCGATTTACACAGCTTTGGTGCACCAGCATCACAAATCCTGGTTCCGAGTGGGGTCTTGTGACTCTTGTCGTAAAAACTTTTCTAAGACACCCTGGACTCGCGCGCGGATTTTAAATTGTTAGCGCAGTTTTGTATGGACAGTATAAATTAATCGTTCATTTCCGATTAGCCTGCAGTGCTGCCTTCTTCTGTGACATCCCTTTGGGATACCATCTTTTCAGTATGTTGGCCCTGCAGACAGACAGAGCCTTGAAGTGAATTGGCAATTCCTGCTTTAAACCAGGAATGTCGCCCTGGTTAGTATGGACATGAATATTTAGTCTCCCCCTTTTGTCGAGCAAGCACCTTCACCTTTTCTCCTTTTTTCTTAGTGTAACCTTTCTTTGGTTTTTTTGTGTGTGGCTTTCTGTCCACCTTCTTATCCCCAGGGCTGCCCAGGGCGCAGCGGGACGCGGGTTGTTCGAGGTGCTGTCCGCGGGAGAGCGCCCCGCGGAGCGCAGGGCTGCAGCAGGAGCTCGGCCAAATTGTCAGAATAACAGAAAACGCGCACAGGGGAGAGTGACAGGAAACCAGGGCTTTGGAAGTTCACGGCTCGCAAAGCTGCTCGTGGTTCATTTTTTGTTAAAAAAGTCTAATGAGAAAAGTACTACCCTGAGATTCCAGGGCGGCTGCAGTTTTTCTGCTGTCCCAAATCTTCACAGGCACCAGTAAGGTGTTTACTTGCAGTAGTTTGGGTGCGTTTCCCTTTACATCTCAAGCAGCCTTCAACAGGATTTAGTTTTCATATTTAAAAGCTGTGACTTTTAAATATCCAGAGATATAGAATTATTTTAATGTTTATACGGTATTCCTTAATTTGAAGATAGGATCAGAGGTGAATGTCTGCTTACAAAAGCACAGCAACCGCTCTAAAAAAAAAAAAGGAGAAAAGAAGCAGCCCTGCAGTTTCTGTATTTTCAGATATTTCCAGGTCTTACTTTCCCACTCTGGTTTTCACACAACAAACTCGGGCTTTCCCAGACCAGACAGATGTGGAATGTATCTGCTGGATTCCAAGGTCATGGAATTATCCCATATGAGATTCCTGGCACGGAGGTGAAAAACTTTAAGCACCATGAAACAATTGTTGCCATAAAGAATTATATTTTGGCAGGCGTAAATCATAACAGATGTACAGTTTCTAACAAATAAATTTGCAGTTGCGTTGTCCGCTGCCCCACGGCGTACCCAGCAGCAGGGAGGATTTATTCATCTGACTTCAGATAACGCAAATATTTTTAGCCGTGCTCCTAAAGGGGGAGCTTGCGAAGGCATGTGAGCTCTGCAGAGGTAAATATCCCAGCAAGTGTTCAGCCCCTTTAAATGCAACGCCACTTGAAAGGGGCTGATTTTATTCCCGACTCGTGCTTTGCCACGGACTTCGGTTCACACAGTAGTTCAAGCTCCTGTAGTAGTGCTCTGGAACGGGAATGAGGTTTTTGCCGTTGTCTAGGTTACTGAGAAAGGTAGCGACTGTAGTGTTAAAAATAGCGGTTATGATCATGTACCGCTGTCTTAAGTTCAGCTCTGAACTTGGCTGGGAGGCTCAGCGCCTCGGAGACAGCCCGGAACGCAGCCGCCAAACCTGCGGGGACCCGCGGGGACCTGCGAGGACCGGCAGCCCTGCAGCGCCCTGCGGGGTCGCCCACCCCTCCCCGGGGCAGAGCGTTGGGACCCACTCGTCGTGAGCGAGCACTGCGTGTGGCACAGGGACGTGGTCACGGGACTCCCCCGGCGGTGCTCGCGGCATCTTTGAATCTCGGCAGCGTCCCGAGAGCTCGCTGAGCCGCTGCCACATGGCCCCGACACTGCGTGAGGTTTGACACGGCTTAAGCAAAATGTGCGTGCGGACACACAGGTGCGCAGGTGGAGGAAGAGAACCGCAGAAGGTTTCGAACAGTGCCACGCTGCACCTCCCGTAAGTGCCCTCTAAATGGAGCCCGTCGTCTCCTCGGAGGACAGTTGGGTTTCAGCGGTGCAGAAAGCGAAGAAATGAAACTGCACGAGAAGGGAAACATTTCCAATTAATAGTTGGTCGAGTTGCCCAGCAATAGCACGCAGCAGCCTAAAAATAAAAGACCTAAAAATAGCAGATAATTCACAGGAGAAAATTCAAGGAGAAGTGGACCCATTGATTCAAGTCATTTTACATTAGATTTTTGTTTTTAACTGGTATATTTAGTTGTAGGTTAGTGCTAAGTGACAGGGGATAGTTGCACCCTCCTCTGCAACTCCTTTGTGAAGAGCACATCAAACAGCTGAGGATTTGTGTGCGTTGTTATTCTCCTGCCGGTGAGAGCGGAGGCAGAGTCAGGGCCGCTGATTTTCGGTCTCACCTGCATTATTCCAGTCTGTGGGCAGAACGTTCCCCTCCCTGTTTCCCCATCCGTGGGCATAATCCTAATGACACTTCATAAAGGTGAGCAAGAGCTTAGTGGGGAAAGGCGTAAAAGTATCTGCCAGTACTGAATCGGGGCAATGGGAACAGCAAAATTGGCAAATAAGAGAAACATTTTCATTGAGAGGGCAGAAATCCGTCCAGAATGAATGCGTCGCGCTGCCTCATTGACAGATGGATCACACTGATCAGTAACGATTATGTGTCCAGCACTATTCTTGGCTGCTGCCGTTGAGGGCAGTCTCGTTATCCTCGGGGGGCTGCTGCCTTTCGTGCTGCTGTTGACATTTCCAGTCCGGGCCACAAACTGGTTCCAGTCTGGGCAGGCTCTGCTGCGAGTGCTTGCTGAGAGCGTACTTGAGATACTGTCCTGTAGGTGAAA